CACAGTCTGACCCTTGTGGCATCCCCGTGTGAGCCACTGTGGGCCACAGCATCTCTGAGACCTCCAAGGGTGAGTTACCTGTTGGACACACATACCTGCATCAACATGTTAAAAATTTTAGGGACCATGATTTACAACACTGCTAACAATAGGGTTTTCAGATACATGACGCTCCAAATTCACACTCCACGCTGACGGGTCCCACCCACAAACTATCCCTGTCCTCCATCCTCCTCCACCATGGAAAGGTCAGTTCTGCAGCCCGGTTCTCAGACTTCATTGTCGTTTTCACTTGTTTCCCTCCTTCATTTCTCTCTAGCCCGCATATGAGAGCTCATCCCGGGTCTGTCCCTTTCCTGACTAACCCCACTCAACACGGTTCTCTCCAGATCCATCCACAGAGCGGCAAACTGCATGCTTTTGTCATTTCTTAGAGGATCCTTATAGTATTCCATTGTGGATATTACCCCAACTGGTGGGGTACATATCCACAATGGAATACTATAAGGTCTGTTTATCCATTCGTCTGCTCTTGGGTACTTGGACTGTTTCCAAATTTTGACTATTATGAACAGTGCTACAATAAATACATCAGCTCTTTGGGGCAGATGCCAAAAAGTGGAATTGCTGGATTATGTGGAAGCTTGATTTTTAGCTTTTTGAGAAGTGTCCATATTGTTTTCCCCCAAAAGGCTGAAAACCAGTCAACATTCCTACCAGCAGTGAAAGAGGAACTTTTTACCCCACATCCCCTCCAACACAGATTATTTGCTCCTTGTGATGTGTGTCAGTTCACTAGTATGAGGCGATAGCTTGTTGTTTTGATTTGTATTTCCCTTGATGGTAAGGGATGCAGAGCATTTTCTTTATGTACCTACTGACCATCTGTATCTCTTCTTTTATTTTCCAATTCTTTTTTTTAAAAATAAATTTTTTTCTAGTAAAGTAAAGGCCCTCCCGTTGATCGTCGATTTGCTCGAGCGGGCCCAGTAACGTCTCCATTGGAGACTTTGTTGTTACTGTGTCTGGCATATCGAATACTCTCGGTAGCTTGCCGGGCTCTCCGAGAGGGGCGGAGGAATCGAACTCGGGTCGGCCATGTTGGCCGCTTGTAAGGCGAACGCCCTACCCGCTGTGCTATCGCTCCAGCCCAAATTTTTTTTTTTTCTAAATTTTTTAAAAATAAATTTTCTGCAAGGACTTAATGCAGAACCCGGCAGCTTGGAGCAGAAAAGTGAACGGACTATGCGTTAATCCAGGCCATCAGGTCTGTCCGGAGGGGAAAGGGTGTTGCCCCATTCGCCCTCTCTTCTCTGGAAAGAAGGATGGCGGCCGCATGGGAGCCTTGTGGACAGCAGGTATGAGCCGGGGGTGTGGGGGCGACTAAAACCTCATGGGAAGGGGGGCGTTTCAGTCTGCCCTTCACGCCCTACCGAGGCCACCAGTTGCCCCCCACGAGCGGCTCTCCAGCATGGCCACGACTCCAGAGCACAGAAACCAATTTCTTAACTATCTGACTTTCAGTAGAAATACTTCCAGGGTCAATAAGTAAAATAGCAGAAATCCAAAACCAACAAATAATTCTTGAACACAGCTGTAGAAAGCAAATCACTTCATAATGCTTTGTCAGCATGTCTGATTGGGGGGGAGGGGTAAACTCTAAATAATAGTGGTGAATCTTTTATTGAAACAATGAATCTAATCAAAGCAGATAGAGTGTTAACTAGAATTCATCTGCCCCACAGGGACTGGGAGGGGTGGGGGGTGGGGTTTTATTGGGGTTCTTCATGGTAAAAAATAAGTTTTGGTAAAGGGAAATGTGCTTGATATTTGCATGACTGAGACCTAAACCTGAAAGCTTTGTAACCTTTCCCATGGTGATTCAATAAATAAATAAATAAATTTAAAAAAAAATTTGCTCGAGCGGGCCCAGTAACGTCTCCATTGGAGACTTTGTTGTTACTGTGTCTGGCATATCGAATACTCTCGGTAGCTTGCCGGGCTCTCCGAGAGGGGCGGAGGAATCGAACTCGGGTCGGCCATGTTGGCCGCGTGCAAGGCAAACGCCCTACCCGCTGTGCTATCACTCCAGCATAAAAATAAATAAAAATAAAAATAAATTTATTTATTGAATCACCGTGAGAGCAGTTACAAAGCTTTCAGGTTTAAGTCTCAGTCATACAATGATGAAACACCCAACCCTTCACCAGTCCAAAAGCCCCAGTATACCCCCCCATCCCACCCCTCCCCCTGCCAGTGTGGCAGATGATTTCCACGTTACTCTCTCTCTGCTTTAATTACATTCAACATTCGACACCAAACCCACCATTATTATTTGGGATTTCACCCCAACACTCAGATCTGCTGAAAAGGCAACAGTAGACAATTTGTGTTCTACTGCTGATCATGAATAGCATATGATGTCACGTGGCCGCAGTGGCAGCCGTGCGATTTTGGAATTCTAAAATCTTAATAATTAAATCTGGAGAGATTTCTGCCAAAAGCCGCTGGATTCCGAGATTTGTTTCTGAGTCTCTGGGATCATGCCTTAAGCAGCTTGCTGAGTAGCCGGAGGACCCATTCGTGGGAGGCGACTCCCCATCTGTGTATCCTCTACACTGACATGTTAATGCTTCGTTCTGGGATTATTTTTACTTTATTAAAATGAATCACCATGAATTACAAAGTAACAAAGTCAGTCATGATTGGGTTTTAGGCAGACCCCGTTCCAGCACCCATCCCTCCGCCAGCATCCACTTCCCTCCAACAGTGTCCCAGGTCCCTCCAAGAATGTTCCAGCTTGCCTCTGCAGCAGACAGTATTTTCTTCTCCTGTCTCACCCTTCCCCGTCCCGTTAGGCACTGTGCTCTATAGTACTATTACTGAGAGGGTCTCATGGGCCTCACTTTACCTCCTTTCAGTGCCCCTGTCCTCGTGCATAGTGACCACTTTCCTCTCTCATTGCCGTAGTGCTCCCTTCCCAATCTGTCCCCCCACCTTCCGCCCCTTAGTGGCAAACTTCCCGCTAAGGGTCAGTTCCCCTGCTCTTCATTTCTATTGGACAGTCACCTTCTGTAGTGGAGGTGGGGGTTTAGACCATGTCTGACGATGCTCAGGTCTTGGTTACTCCTGGTTCTGGGCTCGGGAATCACTCCTGGCAGGGCTCTAGGGACCATATGGCGTGGGTGTCAGGGATTGAATCCAGGTCTGATCCATGCAAGGCAAGCACCCTACCCACTGTATTATCACTCTAGCCTCAAGAACAGGCACATTCTTTTAAGTTTGTTATTGTCTTTTGGGTCTCATGCTTGCAATGTTTTTGGCTCTGTTACACACACACACACACACACACACACACACACACACCTGTTAGGTATATACATTTACCTCACCTCACTTCTGCACCACAGTGCCCAGGGGTTCTGCCCTCCACCCATTACCTCCCCCTGCCTCTTTACTTCCTTCCCCACCTTGATTTTTGTCCCTCCGCATTTTTCTCATTTCGAGGGTCCATGGAAATCTAGGTAGCCGCCTCTGATACCTTGTGTTCATTTGTACTGTTATTCTATCTGCCACGAATAAATGAGATCACCCGGTATTTGTCCTTCTTCCGAATTTCTTCACTCAACATGATAAACTACGATGCAGCTGCAAGGAAGGAAGAATCACGCGACTCGCTGCACTCTGGATGTTCGTGCCCTTTGAAAGGTTTCTAGATTGCTTTTCTCTTCTTTTTTTTTTTTTTTGCATTCGCCCCCTTCCCTTGGTTTTGGTTGCTCCCACACAGGGCTTGCTCCCACGCTGCAGATCAGGGGGTGACAGACACGCCTGCTTGCTGTGCTCACAGTTTTGACTTGGGGCACCAAAGATCACTGTGGTAGAATCTGACTCAGTGATGTGGGCAGGTGCCAGGGTGGAACCCGGGGCCTCAATCATGCAAGGCAGGAGCGCTCCCAGGGAGTCCCCTACCCCAAGACTGCTGCCACGTCATATGTCCGTCCCCTGTGGGAACACTGCCCCAAGCCGCCATCTCCTCTGGGAAGTCCAAACATGGCTGGCAGGGAGCTGTTTGCTGGGGTCCCTCAACTCCATTAGTCTCTGTTCTGTTCGACCTGCTGCTAGTTTCTCCAGATAGGCTCTGAGCTCCTTTTGGGGCCCCGATCAGGTAGACATACCAGAGGCTGGTCTCACCTCTCCCGGACCCTTCATCTGCCCCCATTCTCCTGCCCCATCATTCTGCAAACACACACCAAGTGCCCAGCTCCATCATGGGCTGCAGAGGGCAGGGTCCTCACAGACAGATGGAGAACGATAGCTGCTCGCTGGGCAGGGGGCAGGAGAGCCACTGCCTCGGACCCATCAGAAGAGGCCACTTCCCAAAGACCTGCACTGGTCACCTGCTGCCTCCTGCCAGCTCCAAACAAGCACCCTGTGCATGGGCGCCCTGTGCCCAGCAGAGGACACGGCCATGAGCCCGGTGCCTGAACGAGCTGCCCAAGAAAGCAGCAAAGGAGGACAATACTGAACTGCACAGAGTCAGGGGCCAGGAGGTAGCACAGGGCTAAGGCATTTGCCTTGAATGTGGCCCACCCGGGTTTGATACCTGGCACTGGAGAGGGTCTGCTGAGTAACCCCAGGAGTCACTACTGAGCACAGAGTCAGGAGTAACCCAAGCACCAACAGGTGTGCAGGGAAGGAAGAAAGGAGTGAGGAAGGGAGAGCGGAAGGAAGGAAGGAAGGAAGGAAGGAAGGGAGGGAGGGAGGGAGGGAAGGAAGGCTGGCTGTCCCTGGCTCCCACCGAGACCCTGTGTCATCCATGTCATCAGCAGAAGGAATGACATGAAGAGACACCCAGACAAGAGGGAGGAGCTGGGTCGCCCCAGAACCTCGCCGTGGAACTGACTGCAGAGGTCGAGCAAGTCCAGTGAGACTCTGGAGTCGGGCTAGAGCCTGAAGGGCAAGCACTGTTGGCACCTCCCGCCCCGAGCAGACCAGCCTACCTCGAAGCTGGCAGAACGTGGTCATGAACTTGCTGGTGAGGGACTTGAGCTCATTGTTGGCCAGTGTGATGAGATGGATCTGCTCCGTGACATTCCGCAGGACCTTGTAGATGCCGATGGGGAAGGAGACCAGCTTGCACTCAGCCAGGTCTGTGGCCCAAGAGCAGAGACAGACCAGAGTTAGCGGCCAGAGTGCCCAAGGACTAGCCCCAAACCACACGGGTCCTGGCGCCGAGCCTGTCACCGCCCCATGCTGGGCTTCACAAGCTGCCCTTCGCCTCCAAAGCCTTCCTTGTCACTGTCCATTGCATCCGTGTGCACAGAGGAATGGTGGGGATTGTTCTAGCCCCTTCCCCGTAGTCACAGTCTACACCAGAACACAGAGAGCAGAGCTCACCAGCACCACCAGACTGGCATTCACTGCAGCGTTCTTAAAGCTTACAGAGTCCACAGGGGCTACTGCCAGGTGCAGTACCCAAATCAAACGAACAGGAAACAAGCAATAAAAAAAGAATCCACAGGAACTCCTCAAAGAGATCTTTGGGCCAAGCCCTCCTTGACAGTCCACTCCTCAGCTAACAGCAATGCTCAGGGCTGGCGACTCTGGCCTTCCTCCTGTCCTGTCACTCTGAAAGCAAGTCCAGGATGAGACGCAAGGGATGCCCGTGTGGAGACAGGCAGACCCTCCCTCAAATCACTCAATACTTTGGCCCTGGACTGAGGGATCCCCTCCTAGAAACACCTGACTTATAAATGTTCAGAGCCACACTTTTCAGTTGCCACCAAGTGGGAACACACCTGAACGCAACAGTTAATGGAAAAGCAAAATGGTGCAGAAAAAAGTGAGAAAAAAATAAGGAAATGAGTTGAAGCAAAGATACATGATCTGGGGCTGGAGTGATGGCACAGCGGGTAGGGCGTTTGCCTTACACATGGCCTCACCCGGGTTCGATTCCCAGTATCCCATATGCTCCCCTGAGCACCGCCAGGAGTAATTCCTGAGTGCATGAACCAGGAGTAATCCCTTGTGCATCGCTGGGTGTGACCCAAAAAGCAAAAAAAAAAAACCAGAAAAAAAAAAGATACATGATCTAACATACAGCAACCTTGAAAACGCTATGCTAAGTGAAAGAGCCAGTGAGAAAGGGCTCTACACGGCCACCTGAGTCCACTTATATGAACTGGACATGCGGCCAACTTGCAGAGATGGACAGTAGGTTAGTGGCTTCTTGTGCGTGGGGCAGGGGAGGTTAGGGGGTAGCAGGTCAGAGGGGGAATGGGAATGTTCCTAAGTGTGGGGCCAGAGCGATAATTCAGCAGGCAGGGCACTTGCCTAGATGTAGCCAACCCAAGTTGGATCCCTGGTATCCCACATGGTGCCCTGAACACCACCAGACGTGACCCCCTGACACTGGAGTAATCCCTGAGCACTGCTGAGTATGATCCAAAAACAATCAACAAATGTTCCCAAAGGTGACTGTGATTCAGAGCCAAGACTAAGCCCTGAGCATAGCCAGGTGTGGCCCAAAGTCAAAGCAAAAATTGTGACTGTGGTGACAGCTGAGATGCTCTGAATAGAGCTAAACCACCAGACCGTGTTTTTAGGAGGCTGCAACGCTGGTAAGTGAATCCTCTCCCGATAAGGTTGTTGTTTATACATGGCAGCAGGGAGACACTTACAGCAAGTGAGCTCAGGAAGCAGGCCGAGTCACTCCTGTCTCCTAAGCCTTGGTCTCTTCATGCGCAAAATTGGGGTGTCATCATAGACCAAGCAGGGCCGTTAGGAAAATGGAATGTGATGAGCACCAGAGCCCGCTAACAAAACTCCTGACGTCCAGGCAGCGGGAGGGCTGCACGAGTTGCTTCTGTCGGCCCCCACAACTGGTGGCCGCCTCCCATATCCAAACCCTGAGATCACTCTTATTCCAACTCTGACTCATCTCTCAGTAAACTCAGCTCTTCTCAAAAAGCTTTTCTTTTTACTTACCTTTTGATTCGGGGCCATACCCAGCAGTGCTCAGGGCTTATTCTGAGGCTCGGAGGACCACATAAGTGGTGCCAGGATTGAATCCAGGTCAGCCCCTACATGCTCTATTATCTCTCCAGCCCCAAGGCTTTTGACTCATGTTGCAAAATAAACATGCAGGGGTCTGCAGGAATAAGTGGTAGAACACCGGCTTGGCAAGTGAGTGGTCATGAGTCCTCGCCCTGGTGCTGCCGTATGTGTCATGCATGATTCTCTCAGCTCTGCTGTGCGAACCTGGCAGCTCTTCCATCTGGGCTCTCCAGCATAAGCGATTTACTGTCCCACTGAAGCCGGTGTGTGTGTGTGTGTGTGTGTGTGTGTGTGTGTGTGTGTGTGTATGCGCGCGCGTGCACACCGCAACCACGAGTGTGATCCTCTCCCCCCCACCACCAGTGAGCCCCACACCCAGGAAATGCGACCCCTGGCAAACACATGTGTGAGGACCACAGCGACCTCCCTCCCAGAAGCATGGCAGCTGGGCTGTCTGTGAGCACCACAGCTGGGATGTGCTTCTGTGAGCAACCAAAGAAATAAAATGTCCCAGTGCCACAGTTCTAGGAACACAATTCTCGGCAAGGACCGCGGCCAATGGGCAGCACCACCACAGCACCAGCCACACACCTGTGTGCTCAGCCCTAGAACATGCCACACGCATGGCAGGGGAAGGCCAGAATGAACTGATCTGCAAAGGCTCCATCACAGCCCTATGGGCCAGAAAGTAAATCATTTTATTTCTTTGGTAGGTCAGTTTCTGATTTGGGGGCCACACCTGGCTGTGCTCTGAGCTTACCCCTGACTGTGCTCAGGGATCAGGCCTGGCACTGCTCAGGGAACATATCAGGATCAAACCCAGGGGGGCCTCATGCAAGCGCTCTGACCCTTAGACTCTCTGGTCACAGAAAATTTTGCTTTCCCCCCAGAAAATAATGTTTAAAAATCCTATCAGTGGGGCCAGAGAGATAGCTCACTGGGTTGAGCACAGGCTTTTAATCTGTTTGGTTTTGGGCGACGCCCCTGGTGGTGTTCAGGACTTATTCCTGGCTCTGCACCAGGGATCATTTTTGGTGGGCTTGGGATCCTGGGGATCAAACCTAGGTCAGCTGCATGCAAAGTAAGCACCCGACCAGCTGTACGATCACTCTGGCCCATAGCGCGTAATTCGCATTTAGGAGTCCTGTGCCATGGGTGACAAAGTTGAGAGCTGTCCATACACACTGCCAGGTGTGTCCCCAAAACCAAATAAAAAAAAAAGATCTTATTCTGAACAGTAACGATAATGTCAAGTCTATAGAGAGAATTTCAATTGAAGCCCTTCTCCCTCACTCACATAATACATATTCACTGTATCACTGTTATCCTGTTGTTCATCGATTGCCTCGAGCAGGCCCCAGTAACGTCTCCTTCGTCCTAGCCCTGAGATTTTAAAAAGTGCCACATTCGAGGCTCTTTCAGGGTCAGGAGAATGAAACCCATCATTGTTACTGGTTTTTGGCATACTGAATACGCCACGGGGAGTTTGCCAGACTCTGCCGTGTGGGCAGGATACTTTTGGTAGCCTGCCAGGTTCTCCAGAGTAAGAACTAGATAATAAGATGTTGTGTGGTTGCATTCGCATTTTATAGTCTCTGGGTCTTGGCTTCTCAGTGCTGCCATGTTGGTGAAGCCTTCAGGGTCAGGTGAATGAGACCAGTTGTAGTTACTGGTTTTGGCATATCGAATACACAGCGGATAGCTTGCCAGGCTCTTCCGTGTGGGCGGAATACTCTCGGTAGCTTGCCAGTCTTTCCGAGAGGGATAGAGGCTTTTGGGGCGACCTCTAATCACCCTTAACAAGATGAGAACGCTATTCAGGTCTCCCAAAGAAGAATAGAAAGAGCTATGCTTGGAATATCACGTTTCACTCAAATGAGAGAAAGAATCCGTCGACGATCAAGGATCAGGGACGCTGTCTCATTTGCCAAGGTGTCAAAAATCAGATGGGCTGGTCACGTAATGAGATTTAAAGACGACCGCTGGACTAGAGCTGTTACTGACTGGATTCCACGGGATGTCAAGAGACCGCGTGGCCGCCCACCTACCAGATGGTCAGACTTCTTCGTCAAGATCATGAACGATCGGTTTGAGGCCCTTCATGTTCCCGGAGCGAACAGATGCCATTGGGTTACACTAGCACGCGACAGGGACAAATGGAGACGTTACTGGCGCCCGCTCAAGCAAATCGACGACTAACGGGAAGTTAAGTGATTAAGTGATTTAAGTGGGTCTTGGCTGTTGATGGGACTACACGGTGCACTGTGTGTGTGTGTGTGGGGGGGGGAGTTGGTGGGTGTAACGCCTACATACTGGAAGGTGGGGGATCTGGATGGAGGAGGCCCCAGTCCCAATCCGAGCCGGCTTGGAGATCTACGCCCCGGGTCCCATACACCTGGGTTCCTCGGCCAGTTCCTTCATGCGTGAGTCAAATAATAAAACTCTCTACTCTTGTTCAGGGGTTGGAGCGACAGCACAGTGGGTAGGGCGTTTGCCTTGCACGTGGCCGACACGGCCCACCCAGGTTCGATTCCTCCGCCCCTCTCGGAGAGCCCGGCAAGCTACCAAGAATATCTTGCCCACACAGCAAAGCCTGGCAAGCTGCCCGTGACATATTCGATATGCTAAACTCAGTAACAAGTGTCACAATGGAGACATTACTGGGCCTGCTCAAGCAAATTGATGAACAACGGGAGGATAGTGACAGTGACTTGCTCAAACGTCACCTCCTCTGTGAAGCCTTCCTGACTGCCCAAAGCAGTCAGAAAGCTCAGGCAGTGTGAATGGAACTCTGCATTCTGGACTGTATTGATCCCCGTTGTCGTGGAGGACTGAGAAGAAGACGGGTGGGGTACTCGTAGCAATTGAGCTAGTTGGAGGGACAAAGGGAACATGTCCAGATGACAGAATCCACAGGCCCTCAGGGCGCAGCCCATGGTAGAGCCCTGTGTAAGCTCTGTGCAGGGCTGTGCCAGGGGCCCAATTCCTGCTATGACACCCAACTCAGACACACACATGGGGCTGGCACAGGAGAGTAGGGGCTGGACCAGACCAGTTTTGCGGGCTCACAGCTTGGGGTGGGCTGAGGAATCTA